AAGTTTAATTTTGGATATAGATGGTAGTGTGTGGTTCTCTTTTGGAATTTTTCAGGTGATTTAATGTAACTTAATACTACTTTAGGAACTTCAGAACAAAGGAATGGCCTAATGATTCTGAAGGGTTTCTTCTGATGGTAGCTTTTATATTATCAAGTAAGATCCTATTTTCAGTTTTGTGTGAGCAAGTTATTTTAGTGTAGGAAAATTTTTTTCTTTGGCAAAACAAGACGTAAAGATATAAAATTTTGTGAATTGTATCTTAAACTTATATCATAGTTTTTATATCTTATATCTAAACCTGGGAATTATCACTTAGGGTTAAAATGCCTTGGGCATGAGGCTTCTGCTCAGAATAGCAGTTTTCTCTGCTCCTTCCACATCTCAGCCAGGACTTAAGTTGAAATGCAAATGGAAGAAGCCTGCAAGCTCAGTAGGAGACTGATCTGGGGATTTAAAAAAAAGGGGGGGGGGTGGAAACAGGTAAAGGTGTCTTTTACCTGAACTCAAAACTAGACTAAACCAAAAAGTAAATTGTATGGTATTTACTAATTACTGGCCAATCCTTTTTTTCTAGGACCCTTGCTTTTTCTTAAATTCTGCATTTTTTGAGCTCATGATTTTGATCTTACAGACTTAGGTTAATGTTTTTTTTTTTTTTCTGATCAGCTCCATTTTTTATCAACTGTGGAGTTTTTAAACATTGCAATGGAGATTTCACCTGTGAAAAGCTACAAGGCCTTTACTATTGTGTTATGTGTGCACACTTATGTTATGTGTTGTATGTCTGTGTGTGCGTATGTCCATGTCATGAAGATTGGCAGATATATGAGGAGCACTCATGATAAGTTAAAAAAAATGGATCCAAATATCTTTTATTCACGTGATTTAAACAGTTCAAATTAAATTGGGTAAACAGATGAAAATAAAGATGTCTTTAAAATTAAGCTTATCAGTCATATGTTAAAAGGACAAAGATTCCTTAAAACATTAATTTACCATAACATTGTGTTTTATTAAGTTCTGTTTCTTGTTTCTAGAGCAAGTAATCTTAAAGAAATTAAACAGCTGGCTAAACAAGAACTGTTATTCTAGAGAATTGTGCTATGTTATTCCTTTAAAAGCTAAATTTAGTTAACATAAAAACATCAATGTAATTGTGATGCTATTAATGTGTTCATATCTTCCAGGTATACAAGTGTGTAAGGTAGAAGCTTTAAAAGAGCATTATATAAATCTGGTGTTCTAAATGTTGTATGGTAATTTTAGGCTTAAAAGAAAAGCATGTTGGAGATTTGTTTGTATCATTTGATGTTCTATGGCTAGACCTGTTGTCGATGGGATATGTGGGGTTTTGTGTTGCTTTCTGCACTGAGGTATGATTCTTTAATTGTAAGAATGAAAGACCATTCTGGGTGCTTTGCCTGGTTGTGGCTGGACTCCTCGTTGTCTCACATTCTTGAGTAAGGCAAACACCTGCTAATAAAATGAAAAGGGGGAGATGTAGAGCATGGCTGCCTGCTTCCTGGTCTTGAGGCCGCATATGTGGCTGGGACGGCTCCTGGTGATCAGCCAGGAGGCGGTGCTGTGGGCAGTGATGGAGGAGGCGGATCACCTCCAGGATAGGTCCAGGACTTTTCCGCCCTCATGGACAGCTCGTACCTTCCCTTACAGACTATGGCATGGGTGTAACACGTGAACTTGCTCCACCCCTCTGACCTTTATTCTGATTGGCTCCTGTGCAGTATATAAGCTGTGTGTGCTTCCTCATTAAACAAGATCCTGCTTTGACTGTTCTCTCTGGCACGTCTGATTGTCCTCCCAGGAGGGAGGGCTGGGTGTGGGCGGCCAGTCGACCTTTACCTCTCTTGGTTCCTCTTGGTCAGGACGTGCTTTCCCCGCTTCTCCCGCCGGTCAGGAGGAGATGGGGGCTAAAAACCCAGATACAGTACCAGATGGGTACACAGCCGAGTTCTACAAGACCTTTAAAGAAGAACTAATACCAATACTCTTCAATATATTTCATGAAATAGAAACTCATTCTATGAGGCTAATATCACCCTGATTCCAAAACCAGGCAAAGACACATCAAAGAAAGAAAACCTCTGACCAATATCTCTAAATAGATGCAAAAATTCTCAATAAAATTCTGGCAAATCAAATACAAAAACATATCAAAAAGATTGTGCACCACAATCAAGTGGGGTTTATCCCAGGGATGCAAGTTTGGTTCAACATATGGTAATCAATAAATGTAATTCATCAAATCAATAGACTTAAAGATAAGAACCATATGATCATCTCAATAGATTCAGAAAAAGCATTCAACAAAATATAGTATCCCTTCATGTGATACAATCAGTCAACAAATATATGAAAAAATGTTCATCTCTAGAAATTAGAGAAATGCAAATCAAAACTACTCTTAAGATTTCATCTCACTCCAGTCAGAATGGCAGCTATTAAGAATTCAAACAATAAGTGTTAGTGGGGATGTGGGGGAAAAGGCATGTTCATACATTGCTGGTAGGACTGCAATTTGGTGCAGCCAATATGGAAAGCAGTATGGAGATTCCTTGGAAAACTGAGAATGGAACCACCATTTGACCCAGCTATCCCACTTTTCGGTTTATACCCAAAGGACTTAAAAAACAGCATACTACAGGGACACAGCCACATCAATGTTTATAGCAGCTCAATACAATAGATAAATGGTGGAAGCAACCTAGAAGCCCTTCAGTAGATGAATGGATTTAAAAAATGTGGCATTTATATACAGGAATATTACTCAGCAATAAAAGAGAATAAAATCATGGTATTTTTAGGCAAATGGATGGAGTTGGAGAATATAATGCTAGGAGAAGTTAGCCAATGCCAAAAAAACAAATGCCAAATGTTTTCTCTGATATAAGGAGGCTGATTCATAGTGGGGTTGGGTGGGGAAGCATGTGAAGATTAGATGAACTCTAGATAAGGCAGAGGGGTGGGAGGGGAAGGGAGGGGGCAAAGGGTGTAAAAAATATGGTGGAATGAGATGGACATCGTTATCCTAAGTACATGTATGAAGACACTAATGGTTTGAATATACTATGTATACAACCAGAGATATAAAAAAAAAATGTGCTCTATATGTGTAATATGAATTGTAATGCTTTCTGCTGTCATATATAATGAATTCAAATAAAAAAATAAAAGAATTTCATCCCTTGAAGACAGGGCATATAAACTTGAATAATCAGTATAAAATACAGGTAAAATATTAAAGGCAATGATCAGACTGTACAAGGTTTCTGGGACAACCAAATCACCAAACTATAGAGTCTTGAGACATTGAGATATAGGCTGAAGGTGTTAAGAACCACTTCAGTAAAATAATAGCAGAAAATTTTTCATAATGTTAAAAGAGAGGTCCACATAGAGGACAAATATAAAAACCACAAATAGATAAGATTTTTTTAAAAACTCTCTAAGACACATCATAATAAAAAATGCCTAAAATAATAAGGAAAGGGTATTAAAATCTGCATCAAAAAAAATCAGGTCACATTTAGAGACAAACCAATAAGACTCACATCTGATTTCTCAAATGAGGCCCCAAATTCAAGGAGAGCTTGGGAAAGAGATATTCCAACCTCCAAAATAAAAGAATTGCAAGACAAGATTATTACATCCAGGGTAGCTACATTTCAATATTGATGGAGAAAAATAAATTGTATAATAAGGATAAACTAAAAAAAAAATCATGACCATTAAGACAGTACTTAAAAAGTACTTAAAGATACACTACATACAGAAGAACTCAAAACAAACCTTAAGCCTCCCAAATAGATGAAATTCTTTTGAAGAGCAACTAACTCAATAAAAAATTAAGACTCAATTAAATCCAGCAAACAAATCAAATGGCAAGAAATAATAAACTTTTATCTATAACCATGCTGAATGTAAACAATCTCAACTCTCCAATTAAAAGAGTTAGATTAAAAGAATGGATTAAAAATCAAGATCCAACTCTGTGCTGTTTGCAAGAGACTCATCTCATAGGCTAAACTACTCATAGACTGAAAATAAAAGGATGGGAAAAAATATTTCATGTAGATGGAGCCCACAAACAATCAGGAGTAGTTATTCTCATAACAGGGAAAGCAGATTTCAAGCAAGCTCAGATACCTTCAGGAATTATCTCTTCATTATGTCACTCTCTGCTGTCTTCACTCTCCACATTGGAACATTTTCTATCATCCCTATAGTATTTCCTGGAATCAATTTGCAAATAAATTCTCGGATTCCGAACCCCAAATGAGGATCTGTCTGAACATTTATCCAGACAAGTTATCTTGTTTTCTTACTTGTAGAGTGCCTGGTCCTGAACAACTTTTCATGCAACGTGAATGGTTGCCTTATCATCAAGTCAATTCTTGGTTTGATTGTCCACCAAACTCGTAAATCCTCTGAGCCAGTGCTGTTTCTTAGCAATTTTCAGTGTCTTTCAGAGTAGTTGTTTTGAATGCTTTCTTTCACTGCATCTAAGGTATATACAAAAGACCACTTTTCTTAAGAAGCTACCACCCCAGGGCTCACTAAAAACAACCTGAATTGGAGGTTTCCCTATTTTGTTTTCTTCTGTTTTGCTTTAGGAAAGGTGAATGAAGAAAACCTTTCATGAGATATCTAAAAGAAACTGAAGATCTCTGGTCGACCAGAAGGCTCACCCAGGTGAGCTTGGTTTTTATCCAGAGAAGGTCCTCGGGCAGGGAGGACCGGGTGCCTGCTTTCCAAACTATCTTCCTGTATTAGGTTGTGAAATGCTCACCTCAAATTGTATGCTATGATTTCTCAATGTTTAGTGATGAACTAACTAAAAGGGTGACAAAGAAGGACAAAAATTCAAAAAGGAAAAAAAAATAGACACATAACTTTATGTTTGTATGGAGGTCTAAGTTAAATTTATTGAAGATATAAGATTCTATTGACACAAGGAAATATAACACAGAGCAGTTGGTTCCATGGGGTAACTTGAGAGCAGACAGATTTAGGGAAAAGAGAACTTCTTTTTATTTGGAAGACAGCTGATAACATGGTGGAGGAGAGGCTACCCATGTGGAGGCCAAACGCTATCAAACCACCCTTTGGAATGAAGGTTTGTAAGTGGCCTGTGCTGACTGTGCCCAGAGATGGACTCCATCAAGTCTGTTAGTTGAAGAGCAGTGGGGTGGGGTGGTGGTGGGGGCAGGTGCAGGTGCTGAGCACAAGAAGCAGTGGAGCAGGAGGAGAGGAATGAAGTGGTGGGGCAGCTAGTAGCAATTGGGCTGGCGGCACAGAGACTAGCAGCAGCAGCTTGGGCGGCAGCAGCTGGCCACACAGCAGCAGGGTCGGCAGCAGGTGGTCCTGCAGCAGGTGGTCTGAAGGCAGCAGGGGCGGCAGCAGCAGGAGCCACAGCAGCAGCTTGGGCGGCAGCAGCTGGCCATACAGCAGCAGGGTCGGCAGCAGGTGGTGCTGCAGCAGGTGGTGCGGCAGCAGGTAGGGTGACAGCAGCAGGAGCTATAGCCACTGGAACCTCCACATCCACTGGGACCACCACAGCAGGGGCTGCAGCAGCTGGAGCCACAGCAGCTGGGGAGGCAGCATTTCCAGGCACCAACA